AATAATAATGCTCATCTTTCATAAAGATAACACACCCCAAGTTTCATATTTAGTAGGTTGGAATTGAGGATACAAATTCTGCCGGGGATAATTATCTTTGCACAACACCACAACTATAGACAATCAAGTAAAGAAAGAACAGAAAATAATGGGTGTCTGCAAACAGCAGTCAGGGGTCAGTTATATGAAAAAATGTAAAAACGAACATCGGAAAACATTTTAAAGTAGAAAAAATACATTCCTTTTATCAGGGGTCGGCAACCCAAATGATTCAAAGAGCAATATTGGATAAAAAAAACAAAACACAAATCTGTGTGGAGTCTTCTGTAAAAGTAAAAGTCTTCTATAAGCCTCATAGGGCAACACGAGCTCTAAATGTATTAGCCAACTATAAAAGAGGTCATAAATGGCATCAGTGATTAGAAACTACACTTAATAATAACTGTGTTTCATGGTCTGAAACATTAAAGTATGTAAACCTTAAAATGAAGAAAGTTGGAACAACTTTTTTAACAGATCTGAAAACTGTAAAAGACTTTGTTTAAAATGTGTCCAGACTGTTAACACAACGTGTGTTCAAGCAGAGCTGAATGTATTGGATGTGTTTATAGATGGTTAAAATGCAGTAAAAACAGCCTCTGCTCTTGTTTTCTGTCAGTGGGTCTCAAACAGAGAGAAATTAAACATTTTCAGCTTTATTAGAAATATATAATAAGTAGTGTTGCGCCGATGCCATTTTTTGGCCCCGATACCGATACCCGATACCTGGCTGTGCAGTATTGGCCGATACCGATACCATAATAATGTAAAATAATTGCCATCATGGCTTTGTCAAGCTGCTGCCTACCTTTGTGAAGCAGGAGAAAATCTAATACAAAGTGAATCCAGTAGAACCTTTTATTGCCTACCTGGAATGGGTGACAATAGTTGAAGAAACTTATGGCTCTCAAAATGGTATCGGTGCGCTATTTGTTGGTACTCGCCGATACCGATACCACCATTTTAGGGCAGTATCGGGGCTCCATCCGATGCTGGTATAGGTATCGGTGCAACACTAATAATAAGTGTTCATGATTAAATGTTTGTCCTGGAGCAAATGTCACATAGTAACATGAGGTGAGGGAGGAGCAGTGACACACTCACCGCACGCCGCTTGACCGCACGCTTTAGGTTTTGTTGCATTGATGGAATTGTAGAAACACGATAAAGGAATCTTTCTGTGGTGTTTCTGTTGGGAGGAGATGATTGAGTGACGAGGAACCAAGCAGGAACCGACATCCATCAGAGCAGTTCTCTCTAACCCCGAAATCCCACATCCTCCGTCACCAGCGTTCCTTGGTGTGATTTTTATTTGACGATTTGAGGGGAAAAAATTGAAGAAAGTCCCCATCCCTGCATCAGAGCGCTACCTGTTTGATCTGTGAAGGGTTTTCTATGCCTGTAAGAAAACTAGCAGCAGTAGTGGAGTTTGGAGATGTAATCCACTTTTTAAATCTATCTTTACTTTCCTCTAGTTTATCCAGCAGTTCTGCAATCGCACTTTTTCTCTCACTCCCAACTTAGTAGTGGGCTTCATATTTAGCCTTCCTTCGAAATACCTTTTCCAAATTACTCTTTTTATTTTTTGACAAGCTCTCATTACAAAGCAAACATGCATTTATTGTTTCAATTAAAATGTTTACAGCATTGGAAAACATAATGTTTGTTTGAATTCCTGTAAACATTAAAATAAACAAACAAAAAAAATCTATTGTCATAAATTTTTGAAAAAGGTCCGGGGAGCCGCGGCTCGCCGACCCCTGTTTTCTACCTTTACACAACAGGGTCTTTGCAGCGTCTTCACAGATATCCAGTAAGATGGTCAACCTCTGACCCCTGTTTTAGGGCTTCAGTGTTGAAAGGATTTCTCTTCTGCATTTAGTGTTGGGAGAATTTTTTTAAATCAAAGATATCAATCCAAAAAAGATTTTTATTCACTAAAGAAACTTCTCGCCTCTGCAGGATCATCTGGAGAACATCCGATCAGTGGGACTTTGGAGAAATCGGGTTTGAGGCTGATCCTCCTGGGGCCCGGCGGAGGAGGACGGACCTCCATAGCATATGCTTTGTTAGGAGGTGACGTGACCCGAGCATCCATGGATCCTTTAAAGCAGAGCACCAAGTGGAGCGCGGCGGTGGACGGTAGAGAGATTACAGTGATTGACACCCCAGATATTTTGGGGTCCTCTCTGGGGAACACCAATCGGGCCAGGGAGGCCCTAAGGAGCCTTCAGCTCACCAGCCCAGGTCCACATGCCTTTCTGCTGGTGATCCGGGCCCCAGGCTCCAGCATGTCCGTCGACCACGACCCCATCCAAGCCGTTCAAGGTGCCCTGGAGCTGTTTGGAGAGGGAGTCATGGAATACATCATCCCAGTGCTCACCCATGCAGACAGACTGGGACGGAGACGCACAGTGGATCAGCTGCTGGAGGCCGATTCAGGGCAGCTGAAAAGGGCTCTGTCTTTATGTGGTCAGAGGCCGGAGCTGGTGGACAACAGGCCAGACCTGCCGCCTGAAGCGCGGTCTGATTTACGCAGAAATTTAGTGGAGCGTGTGATGGAGATGAAGGAGATCAGGGGACATTTAGTCCATGAGGTTCACAGGAGGGAGGACTACCTGAGGGACAAGCTGCTGGATGACATGTCCCTGGAACTGGCTAAGAAAATAAAACTTAACTGATGAAACTATGGAGAAGGAGATTATAGTGGGTTTTTTTTTTATTCAGCCTGCAGTTTTATCCAAAAACTGGTCCAAAGGTGCGGCACTAAGTCGCACTATGAAACGGGGCGCTGATGGTGTCATTTGAGCATATTTTTATAGAAATATAAAAATTTTATCTGAGTGGTGCAATGGATTTTTTTTCACACTCTACTTCGGTATTTCATGCTTTGTCATATTTTATTTGGGATTTCAGAGAAATAAACTGAAATTTAAGGGTTTTAAATAAACACCACATGTTATTTATGGGGTTCATATGACAATCAAAGGAAGTTGATAAGTTTTACAGGATCATAACGTGTGATTCGTGTGTTTTTGTGAGGTCAAATGCCATGTATTTACTGTGGAAAGAGACAAGCTATTTATGTATTAAATGATTAAAATAACAGTTTTTAAGTGGTAAAATAATTGTCTTTTTCAGGTAGCATTAATATATAAATATAATGTAATAAGAGTTGATATTTAAACCTTTAATGTGACATAAAGGATGGATAGAACAGATAAAAACAAGTTCTTATGGTTGTGAGGAGGATGAAAATAATTGCTGGAAGTTTAAAGTACTGTTGAGTGTTTAAATATTTAAATTTAGCAAAGCATCTCTCTAAGAGGTCTGTTAAGGTTTCTCTATACACCAGTTGCCCAACAGAGTATAAGGACTATTCTTGAAGATTTTTTTTATTTTATTACAAAAATAATATTACAAAAATTATGTTAATTAAATCCAATGGTAATATGATGAAAATAAAGTCATTTACAAAATATATTCATAATATCAAGCCAAATAGAATAAAATTGTAACAACGAGATTAAAGCCATAATATTACTAGAATAAAGTCAAATTATGAGTTTACATTTGAAACATGACTAAATTAAAGGTGTTACGTTATGTTAAAGTTGTAGGATTATGGGAATAAAGTCAACATGATTAGAATAAAGCTGTAACATTACATTACAAACATAAATCATGGTCTGAAATTTGAAAAAAAAAATGCAATTCTTAGAATTTTATCTCAAGAAATAACAAAGGGAAGGTGTAAAATCTAAAAGTAAAAATAAAAATATATTTGACTTTTTTTTAATGAAAAAACAAATCTACCCTTTAAACCTTTTTTTTTTATTTAGAAGCTTTTTAAAGTTCGATTCTTTGGAAACCGCGTTCTTTTTACGGAATAGGATTAGGGCAACTGAGATAAAAAACTGATTAAATTTTTTTTTTATATATAATATGGAAAAAAAAAAGTCTGAATTTTGAGATTAATGTCAGAATTCTGGATTTGAATATATATAATATGGAAAAAAAAAAGTCTGAATTTTGAGATTAATGTCAGAATTCTGGATTTGAAGTCAAAATTCTGACTTTTTTTCCCCCATATTATACTTAACTTTTTATTTTTTCAATTGCCCTAATCCTCTTCCCTACTATGATCTCTTCCTTCATGGTCTGAATTCTGAGATTAAAGTCTAAATTCTGAGATTAAAATCAGAATTCTGACTTTCCCCCATATTATACTGAAATAAAATTTAAAAACAGTTAACTTTTTTTCAGTATCCCTAATCCTCGTCTGTAAAAAAAAACATGGTTTCCAAAAAATTTAACTTTAAAAATTCTGACTTTCCCCCCCATATTATACTGAAATAAAACTTTAAAATCAGTTAACTTTTTTTTTTTTTTTTTTATTGCCCTAATCTTCTTCCGTACTACGGTCTCTTCCTTAATGGTCACGGAATTCTAAGATTAAAGTCAGAATTCTGAGATTAAAGTCTAAATTCTGGGATTAAAATCAGAATTCTGATTTATACTGAAATAAAAGGTTTAAAATCAGTTATCTTTTTGCCCTATTCCTTTTCCACACTATGATCTCTTGAATCATGGACATTAAAATCAGAATTCTGACTTTACTGAAATAAAATTTAAAAAAATCAGTAAACTTTTTTTTTTTTTGGTGGCCCTATTCAACTTCCGTACTTTTGGGGCCCTTCCAGTTGGAATGTGGAAGATGACAGTTCCAACTTGTGAATACTGGAAACTCCCCATAACACAGAGGTGTTTTCCATGGAGGCAGCAGTTGAAGAGGCTATCGGGATGAGTCAGCTAAAAACCATCACAGCCCCCCTTCTGATTCAACAGCCCCACTTTAAACATTTCTACCCCCCATCAATGATGGAGTATTTTAGGGTTTTTAATGTCAGGGGAGGAACTGCTCCTGTGCTTTCTGACGCAGCCGCGGAAGGCTTCTGCGCATGCGCGGATCTTCACGGACAGAGAAGCAGATCTCAACAAGGAAAAAAGTATTAGAGACAAAGGAAACGGACAGCCTTTAGGAAACGAAAAAACATCTAAATTAGTTTTTATTTGGCTTTATGAAGGCTCGACGGTCCCTCCGCCGGCTGGAACCGGCCGGGTAAGTCTCGGCTCGTTGTGGAATAACGAAGTTAGGAGAAGGCGTTGTGTTTGTGTTGGCTGAAGAGACGGAGTTACGTAGAAAAAAATCCAAAAGACTTACGGCAAAAAATGCTGCTAACATGGATTCACTGCCTGCTCCATATAAGTGACATTTTTACATCAGCGGCTGACTCTGCTTAATGTGAGCGCTAGCTTTCTTATGACCTGAGTTTGGCTGCTGTCACGTTTAGCTAGTTCTCCTAACAGCTTGCTTCCTCTATTCAGAACTAGCTGCTGGAAATGTTTAATTTCTCTCTGTTTGAGGCCCACTGACAGAAAACAAGAGCAGAGGCTGTTTTTACTGCATTTTAACCATCTATAAACACATCCAATACATTCGGCTCTGCTTGAACACGCGTCGGGTTCACAGTTTGGACATATTTTTTAGTATTTTTTAGTTATCAGATCTGTTAAAAAGTTGTTCCAAATTTCTTCATTTTAAGGTTTACACACTTTAATGTGTCAGAACATGAAACATAGTTATTAAGTGTAGTATCGAATCGTTAATGTAATTTATTATGACGTTAGTATGATTAAAATTGCCCATACTAATCAGAAAGTGTGTGAATAAATGATTATCTCCTGAAATAAAAGCTTTTCATCTCTCCTCAGGTGGCAGTCAGTTAACTTTGCTTTGGAGGAAATAAAGCCAATTTTCCTTATATATTTACTTTAATATTTTAATATAAATAATACAGTTGCCTTTTCTATGTCTGCTTCTGTGTCTTTGAACCCCATTCGGCCACGACAGATGGCCGCTCACACTGAGCCTGGTTCTGCTGAAGGTTTCTTCCTGTTCAAAGGGAGTTTTTTCCTCTCCACTGTCACTACAAGCATGCTTAGTGTGAGGGATTGCTGAAGAGTCAATGAGTTGATGCAATCAGCTGGTTTTCCTTAGATAGAAAACTTTGAATCAATCTGACTGTGTGATCTGGTGAGCTGTAAAGTGCCTTGAGATGAAGTGTGTTTTGAATTGGCGCTATAGAAATAAACTGAATTGTAAAATAAATTGAAATGTGCACACACTGGAAGGTTTTTGAATGCAAATTTATAGCCATGACTCCTTGATTGGATTGGCTTGCCACTTTAAAACTTTCATTTGGATGATTTGTTTTTAGTCTTTTTTTTTTTCTCTCAGCCGTTCAGATAACGGTGGTCTTCAGACCAAAGGCCTCAAACCTAAAGCTATAAACTGATGTTGTTGTTAGATTTTTTATTTTTTTTTTAGTTATTTTAAGGCTGATACCAATTATTTCGACATCAGCCTAACCGATCTCTGTTATGTGCTTTCGATTTTTTTCGGGTATTCAATTTTTGAAGCCTTTATTGCTTCTTCTCCCTCCACTTACACAATAGGAATTACACAATGATAGAAAAGTTTACACAAGTCTTGAGCAGGGTTTGTATTAGTGATGGTGAGATGAAGCCTCGTGAGGCATTGAGCCATTTGGCCAAATTGCTTCAACGATCCCCACAGTCCATGAAGCTTCATGCGAACATGTCATCACCTACTGGTGGTGTGCAGAACTTCAGTTAGTAATATAATCTGATTTTTTGCAATGTTTTTTTTTCCCATTTAAGTTCTTTTGAAATTGTTAATTAGTGTGTATAATAAAATCTTTTGTAAGTTTTTTTTAGTGTAAAATGTCTTAGAGAGAAACCATTTAATGTGCACAGTTTATTTATTTTTTTGCCATTTGAATGAAATAAGCTTAAGCAGACAGTGAGGTGTTTGTTCAAAGTGGGCAATGATGAGCAAAATGAAAGGTTTTAGTCATTTTTATTTAGATTATTTATCTATTTATATTATAAAAAACAGCTAAATTACTGTCAAAGCATTTTTTGATAAAGAAGTTTTCTAAATTTTTATATCTGGATTTCATTTTTTTCTGATTTCCTTTCACAAAATGTATCCTTTGCTGCAACAACCATGGAGCAAAATTCACTCCATATATTAAAAGCTGGGTTTAGACACCAAGTTCATTATTTAATGAGGGGCTTTCATATTCTGTTTGCTCGTTAGGATAAAAAAAAGTTGTTAGGATAACTGATCATTTAAAAGGGAGGCTCTCAAAAATGGGACCCCAAAAATAACAAAGCTACAGACTGGAGACTCCCATGTTTTAAGTGAATTATGTTCTTTTTTAATAGGGTTTTTAATTGTTTAACTGTGAATGTAACAATTTAGGGGTGCTTGTTGAATATTTTTTGGGAACATTCTTGATTGGGTAGTTCTTGATATAGTTTAGCTCTATGTAGATCACAAAACAATTATTGTGAAAACACTGAAAACAGTGATTGGGGAAAAATAAGCCTTAAGAATTCAGTCAGAATAATTCAGGATCTTGGTTTTAAAATATTTTCTGTTTTGTTTTTAACACTCTAACCTGGTTGTCACATGTTTCCAGGGCAAAAGAAGCTCCAAGCTCAGCATCCCAGTGATGGAAAATCCTGGAAAACAGCCGGTTTGGTGACTGGAGGGACACTACTGACAACACACAGGATGGAGGAAGTGGAAACGCACCAGAGAGCGATGACAATGTGATTTAGGATTTTTGTCAAGAGGATCCTATTATTTTCAAACATCCTTTTTTTTTTCCATGAATAGCTGAGTTTAGCTTTCTACATCCACTCCTGTTGGTGTTTATTTACCGCCACCTCCCTCTGACAGCTGACATAGGAGCACACAGACTCCTCTCTTCCCAGAGGTAGAGGAGCTGCTCTCCCACCGATGTAGCCCCCTGATCGTGGTAGTGGTGGAGCTGGAGGAGGAGGACGTGGTGGTGGTGGTGGCGGTGAACGTCCGGGAATGGGGACTCCATATCCAGCCAGTGAGTGGAAGGAGAGGGGCCGAGGTGGACTGCAGGAGCTGGGCTGCATGCCCTGGAAGGTCAGCAAGCAGAAAGCTGGAGGAGCGGAAACAGTTTTGGGGGCAGAGGAGAGGAGGTGCAGGGAAGCGAGGGACGGTCAGCCCCAACAGGAGCTGTCTTCCTCCTCTTCCTCCCTCACCCCACTGCCTCCCCAGCAAATTTCGACGACTCCAGCCATATATCACGAGAAGCAGCGGAGGGAGCTGTGCGCGCTACACGCGCTCAATAATGTCTTCCAGGATGGGATGGCCTTCAGTCGGGAAACCCTTCAGGAAATCTACCAAAGGTGACAGAGCTGCTTTAGTAAAACATCCAACTAGAAATTAATATGCTTTAAATTGTCACTGTGACCCTTGGACCTCTGTAGGGTAGAGATCCATACCTCTAAGGGCCAGTTGACAACCCTGAACAAATATATTTAGTGAAAAAACATCCCCAGGATTTCTGCTATGTGTAATTGATCGTGTCGCATTACCACATTATAAAAAAAAAAAACTCCGGACCTTCAATATGGATTAAAAAAAATGTGATACAATTAGTAGCATATTATATAAAATGCTGCATATTTGAACATTTATTATCATAAAATGCAGAGTTAAAATTTTATATAAATATCATTAAAATGTTAAGATTTACTTAATAATAAAAAATGAAGAAAAAAAAACAATTATGTAGGAAATGTCCTTATGCCCTCCTGCAGTCTAAGCCTATAGCAGCATAACTATAGAGATAGTTCAGGATAACCTGAGCCACTCTAACTATAAGCTTTATCAAAAAGGAAAGTGTTAAAGGTACACTATGCAACCGGTGTTGATTTTCCAGCGAGGCTCCCCCCAGAGGGCGAAAGTAAAAGTGCACTGTCGTAAATATGCTCAGCTGTTCTCCTGGTTTCTCCTTCAAGCCAGGCGCGGTTGTTTTGAGCTTAGCAGACAGGCGAACGCAACGAATGACTAACACAGTGAAAGTATGAACATGCACACAGAGAGGAAAGGAGCAGTTCTTAAGAAGCTCAGTTCACAGGGCACTAAGCTCCTCTGTG